ATTTTTTTTATCCTTTTTTCTTCTTAATTGTATTAATCTATAATTTAGATGATAAGAAGGAATAAATGGATTTATACAATGTATTATTATTGATATACCTGCAGCAAAAAAGCTTAAACTCCCTCCTCCTGCTGCTCCTGCTCCTGCTGCTGCTGCTGCTGCTGCTGCTGATGAGGCTTCTTCTTCTCCTATTCCTTCCGTCCCTCCATCTCCTCCTCCTCCTCCTGATCCTCCTGCTGCTGCTGCTGCTGCTCCTGCTGCTGCTCCTGATGGTGGTGCTGGTGGTGGAGGGGTAGAGGGAGATGTTTCTGTTGATGGAGAAGAAGAAGGAGGAGATTGTTGTTGTTGTTGCTGCTGCTGCTGCTGTTGCTGCTGTTGCTGCTGCTGCTGATTATTATTATTATTATTATTATTATATACACTTTTTAATAATTGCTGCAGTTGCTGACTATCCTCTACACAAATAGCAGCAGCAGCAGCAGCAGGAAGAGAACCCTCAACAGCACTAACATTAACAGCAGCCTTACTAATTATTATTCCTTCCTCTAATACACGAGTTAGTCCTCCTCCTTGTCCTGGTCCTCTTACCCATTGTTTATTATAAAACTTCTTACCCTCTATTTTATGCTGCTGTCCTTGTCCTTGTCCTTGCTGCTGCTGCTGCTGCTGCTGCTGTAGTTGCTGCTGCAATTCTTCTGCTGCCTCTGCCTCTAATGCCTCTAGTGCATTACATATTGATGATTGTGCTTTGTATAACTCGCTTACCCATGACTCAATAAATGCACCATCAGGGCAGCCTCCCTATAAATAAATAAATAAATAAATAAATTAAATATATAAATTAATTAATTAATTATATTATTATGTTATATGCATTAAGGGAAAGAAAACGAAGAGATTAAGGGCAGAAAAAGGGTATATATATGTATATAGCAGTAACAGCAGCAGCAGCAACAAAAAGAAAAAGAAAATAAAACATAAAGGAAGATAAGATACACCACAAACAGCAACAGCAGCAACAGCAGCAAGACACACAACAGCAAGGACAGCAGCAAGAAGGACAGCAACAGCAACTAGTAGTAGAAGAATAAGTATAATAGAGATAAATAAGACTACATGAATAAATAAAATAAAAAGATAAAAAGAATTACCTCCATTTCCTTCTTCTTAAGTAAAGAAAGACGTCGATATAGACAGAGAGGGAGAGAGAGAGAGGAAGATGGTGGTGAATCCTTCGGAGGAAAAAGGATAAAAAATATATAAATATGAAGATCTTTTAGAGTTTAATTAAATAAATAATACAAATAAAAAATATTAATATGAAAATAAGAAAGAATTAACCGTCAGTTTCTTCCTTTTTTCCTGCTTTCTTTTATGATCATGTACATATAAACATAACATACATACACTCGAGGAGTTGAATAGCCAATCTTATGTGTAAAGAATGCGTTTTTGTGGTGATCTTATGAATGTCTTACAAATATAATTCAATTAAATGAATAAAATAAAAGAAATGATGCAAAATAATGTAAATTTCATGAATATTGATCATAAAAAACATTCAATATTTATACATACACCCCAAGAAACAAGAAACCTCAGGTGTACAGGCAGATATGTATATAGGGGAATAAATAAATATAGGGTGTAAGCAATGCATGCGATGTGCAGCTTATTTATTCGCTAATTCGTCTTTAATTAATTATTTATTTATTTATTTTTTAAAAAGATTTGTTTTCATTCGTATTTTCCCTTTTTTTACTCCTTTTCTCCTCTATCCCTCCGCGTCGCGGGGGGCTCGACACCCAAATATATATATAAGGATGTAAAAAGAAAGAAAAGAAGAATATTTCTTCATTTTTCCTTCTTAAATATATTATATAATAAAGACATAATAACTAAAATTCATTAATAAATCTATTTAGCCAGCAGAAGCAGACCCTTTTTACCAGCATATATCGATATACTTGAGGTGTATAGGCAGCTCTAGTTGTTGTATATTGTGGGTAATAATAACACGGAGGTTTATACAATAAATTCTTTCCTTCTTTGTTTATTTATAATTAAATATAATTACTGTTTATTAATCTTATTTAAATAATACTATTATTCCCCCTTTTTTGCATTTTTCTCGTACAACTGCGACACCCCATGCCATAAGAAAGTCCCTTTTTGTCTTTGCTGCTGCTGCTGTTGCTGCTGCTGCTGCTGCTGCCTGAGGTGTAATGACTAACACCGTAAAGAAGAAATAGTAACACTGCCATGGTTGCTGCTAAGACTGCAGCAGCAGCAGAAGCTGCTGCTGCTGCTGCTAGGTTTGTCTTGTGGCACAGTAAGCCAATTAGAGTTTGCATGCACTAACTGTGTGCCTATTGAATAGGAAGAGAGGCAGGCTGCTACTTGCTTCTGCTGCTGCTGCTTCCTGCTGCTTGCTACTGCTTGCTGCACCTGGTTGCTGCTTGCTGCTGCTGCTGATGTAGCACAATTCGGGTGTCTACGCAGCTGGGCTGCAGCAACAAAATAAATTAATAAATAAAAGGAATTAAAAAGGGAATTTCTTTACACATGCAGCAAAACAGGAAAAATATAAATATATATAAATATATATTAATATATTAATATATATTAATATATTAATATATACATATATAACTATATATAAATATATATTTATATATATAAATATATATTTATATATATAAATATATAAATATTATTAGGTGTATGCATAACAAGAGAGACATAAAGCAAAGAAACAAAACAAATAAACATTTAAACTTTTTTTTTTATGTAGTGCAGCCCCAAACACAATTGGGGCATCCGCTGCAATGCATGCATGCATGCACGCATGCATGCATGCATGCATGCATGCACTAACAATTGCATCTTGCTGCGCTGCGGCTGTTCACACATTCTAAAGACAATGGCAAACACGCTTTATATCCCTTTTGCTGCTGCTGCTGTACATACACTTGAAAAAGGGCGACTAAAAGATGTCCTCGGGGCTACCGCCAAACAGGTCGTCCGAGTCTGCTGCTGCTGCTGCTGCTGCAGCGTCAGCTTCAGCAGCAGCAGCAGCAGCAGCTTCTGCATCAGCAGCAGCGGCTGCTGCGCGTCCTGCAGCAGTTACCTCCCGTAGCAGCTCGGACCTGTACATACACCGCACTGCTTCCTCGCTGCACCACTGCAGCTTTGCTGCTGCAGCTGCAGCAGCAAATATCTTCCTTCGCGTGGCTACTAGAGAAGCAGCAGCAGCATGTGCCTTTGCTGCTGCTTCCTGCGCCAGCTGCAGCAGCAAACACAAACAGACAAAGAGAAGCAAAATGCAGCACGCATGCATGCATGCATACAGTGTTTCTCGGCAGCAGCAGTAGCTGCTGCTGCTGCTGCAGCAAATGCAGCAGAACAGTTCCTGCTATTATACAAACCGAGAACTGTCTCCACCTTCTACAACCTCTCCCTGCTGCTGCTGCTGCTGTTGCTGCTGTTGCTGTTTGTGCTGCTGCTGCTGCTGCTGCTGCTTCTTACTTGCATCCGCGAGTTAATATCATCGTTTTCTTCATTAGATGCTGTGATTGCTGCAGCAACATTCTTAAGTGCAGCAGCAGCTGCTGCTGCTATTGCTGCTGCGTCAGCTCCTGCTGCTGTCCATACACGCCAATCAACTCCTGAGAAAGCTGCTGCTGCTTCCGGTGCAGCAGCAGCAGCAGCAGGAGCAGCAACAGCTGCTGCTGCTGCCGCTGCTGCTTGCTGAGCAGCAGCACTAAGACTGCTGCGGAGTTCTTGGTAGCCTAGGGGCAGCAGCAGCGAGCTAGCTTGCTGCTGCAGATGCTGCTCGTGCTGCTGCAGCAGCACAAGCCATGGGGAAAGCAGCAGCAACTCCGTGTTTATAAACATATCTACAATAGCAGCAAGCTGCTGCACTTGCTGCAGCTCCGTCAGCCGCAGCAGCAGCTGCTGCAGCCACCTAGAGAAGCTGCGGGGACAGCCCAAGTGCAGCGCGCACAGAACCTAACACAGCAGCAGCAGCAACAACAACAGCAGCAGCAAGAGATGACAACAACAGCAGCAGGCAATCTTTTATCCAACTAATAAGCAAAAGCTGCGCATACACCGCAAAATATGCCTATACAACGCAAAGAAGCTGCTGCTGCTGCTGCTGCTGCTGCTGCAGTGCTTACCTGATGCTGCAGATGCTGCAGCGACAACCGCACGCTGCTGTCTCCCATAACTTCTAGTGGCGGCATTTTGCAGCATTGGTGCTGCTGCTGCTGCTGCTTCTGCTGCACCAGCTGCTGCTCCTCTTCTGTATTCTCCCCCGCTGCTGTTGCTGTTGCTGTTACTGCTGCTGCTGCGGGCTGCAGTGCCCCTTTGCTATAATACCTGCGTATAAGAGCTAATCCTCTTTGCTGTCTTAAGGAAGAAAGTCTTTCTGCTGTTAAACCCAAAGAAGCAGCTAACAGCCGCTGCGCTAGGCGACACAGGAAACCTGTGCTGCTGCTGCTGCTGCTGCTGCTGTTGCTGCTGCTGCGCCAAAAGCTGCTGCAGACGTCTTGCAGAGCTGGGCTGTTGCGTTGGATTCGCTCGAGGAGATCCTCTGACTCATCAGTAGACGGTAAAGCAGCAGCAGCAGCTGCTGCTGCTGTTGCTGCTATTGTTGTTGCTGTTGATGTTGGTGCTGCAGCAGCTGCTCCTGCTGCTGTGTTATCTAAAGGCAGTAGGCCATTGCTGCTGCTAACCCTTTTGCCAGTAGCAGGAGCAGCAGCAACAGCTGCCGTCCCCTGCTGCTGCTGCTGCCGCTGCTGCTGCTGCTGCTGCTGCTGCTGCTGAAGGGAAGCCCAACAAACAAGAGAGAAGAAGTCGGAAGCCGCGAAGGCCAAATCGTCTATTCTACGGAAGTCGTCAGCAACAAGAGGTAGCGAACTAGAGCAGCAGCAGAAGCTGCTGCTGCAGCTGCTGCTGCTGTTGCTGCTACACTTGTTGCTTGAATAGTTGCTGCGGAGGCGGCAAGCAAAGACACGACCAGATTTCATCGCCAACAGCAGCAGCAAGAAGTCAGGTGCAGCAGCAGCAGGAGATAGACGAGCCAGCAAAGAAGAAGGATCTGCTGATGGATCCTGTACATTTGCTGCAGCCTCGTCTGCTGTTGCTGCTACTGCTGTTGCTGCTGCTGCTGTTGCTGTTGCTGCTGCTGTTGCTGCTGCTGCGTTGTTGCTTGACGGGGGATTAAAAAGAGATGCAAGAGACCCCCAGCCTCTATATATATCCACCCAGGACACTGCATCAGCCCCTTGCTGCTGCTGCTGCTGCTGCCGTTGCTGCTGCTGCTGCTGCTGGATTGCGGAGCAGCAGAGGCTCTGCAGCGAGAGCGCGAACTGCGGGGCCCATCTACTGTCTGCTACAGCAGCAGCTGCTGCAACTGCTGCTGCTGCATGCGATATCTGCTGCTGCTGCTGTTCGGTGATAAGCGGAGGGAAGAGAGGGCTTAAAGACAACCCCAAAAGAAACGCATCTGTTGTCAGCACAAGCAGCAGCAGTGGCCGCTCCTGCTGGTGCTGTTGCTGTTGCTGTTGCTGCTGCTGCTGCTGTTGCTGTTGCTGCTGCTGCTGCTGTTGCTGCTGCTGCTGCTGCCTGGGGGTCTCATGTAGGCGGGTAAAGGCAAGCGAAGAAACGGTGCGGGCCGAGAGGCAGCTAAGTAGCGGCAAGGACAGCAGCACACCGGAAGAAAGGCACACCAACTGCAGCAGCAGCAGCTCCTGCTGCTGCTGCTGCTGCTTCTGGTGCTGCTGTCTGTTGTCTGTGTCTTGGTGTCCTCTAGTAGAGACAACGACAGCAGCAGCAACATCTGCCTCAGCATTCAATGCTAACAAAGAGACACATCCTCCTTCACTAAGTCGGCAACTCCAAAGGACCTGCAGCAGCAGCAGCAGCAGCAGCAGCAGCAGCAACAGCAACAACAACAACACAACAGATGCAGAAACGTGCTGCGCCAACACACAGACAGACAGACAGCAGCGGCAGCAGCAACAGCAGCAAGTAGCAACCAAATAACGCTTACCTTCTCCTCCTCTGCGGGGGAATGCTGCAGCATCTCCAAACTGCTGCTGCTGCTGCTGCTGCTGCAGCCATTGTTGTTGCTGCTTGTAACAGAGACGCACACAAGGTACGGTGGCGCGCTTGAAGAGGTACATGCGCCCTCTCCGTTGAGTCCTGCTGCTGCTGCTGCTGCTGTTGCTGCTGCTGCTGCAGTGCGCTGCCTCTTAGAAGCTCGACAAGTTTCATTAACTGCATACACCCGTCTCTCCTCCCCTGAGGCGCAGCAGCAGCAGCAGCAAAGCAGCAGCAGCAGCACACAGCAAACAAGCAAATGTCGCATTCCGCCAGCAGCAGCAGATAATATAGTGATTACACCAGCAAGTGCATAAGCAGCGACAGCAGCAGCAGCTGCTGCTGCAGCAACACCAGAAGCAGCAGCAGCACCATCAGCAGCAACTGCAACAGCAGCAGCACAACTCACCGTTTACAAAGAAGGAAGCACGGAGGAACGGTAATATATTGGGGGCAGGTAGAACATCTACATACCCAGCTTGCTGCTGCTGCTGCTGTTGCTGCTGCAGCCGTTCCAAGGGTTGCAGCAAGCGCTGGGGCTGCTGCTGTTGCTGCTGTTGCTGATGCCTCTCCTGCAGTGAGCGAGAACTCTTCTCCGGAGGAGGCGCTGCTGGTTTTGCTGCTGTTCCTGTTCCTGTTGCTGCAGCAGCAGCAGCAGCAGCAGCCTTTGCTGTCTTCCTGGGACTTGCTGCAGCAGCAGCTGCTGCTATTGATGCTGCTGCTGCTACTTTTGATGGCCGCGGGCGCGGGACTGCAGCAGCAGGAGAAGTATCATCATCTGCGTCCTCTTTATCTTCAGCTGCAGTCTGTTGCTGCTGCTGCTGTTGCTGCTGCTGCTGTTTCTCCTTTGGGGTTCTTGGCTCTGCAAGGGCTGCTGCTGCTGCTTTCACAGCACTAAGCTGTTCTTGCTGCTGCTGCTGCTGCTGTGTATTTGTACTAGGAGTATCGCGTTCTGCCTCTGTCTCGTCAGCGGTGCTGCTGTTGCTGCTGTTGCTGTTGCTTCTCTCTGCTGCTGCTGCAGCGATGGCTGCTTGTTCTGCTTGTTCTGCTGCTTCGTCCTCCTCTTCCTCCTCCCGCTGCAGCCGCTGCAGCAGCAGCAGCTGCTGCTTGTACCTTACCGCGAAGGGGTTCCATTCTTCCCATGGGATAGAGGGGTCATCAAAAGCAGCAGCAGAAGCAGCAGCAGCAGCAGCAGCAGCAGAACGTGGCTCTTCCTCCTCTGCCTCGCTATCTTCTCCCTCTGAGCATTCAGGTGTCTTTGCTGCTGCAAATAAGTGTCTCCTTCTGTCCCTCCCGTCCCCGTCATCTCCATCCCCTCCACTCCCCCTCTTGCTGCTGTTGTTGCTGCTGCTGTTGCTGCTAGAGTTGTTGCTAGTATTGCCGCTGCTGTTGCTGCTGCTTTTGCTGCTGCTGCTATTGTTAGGTACCGGGTTGGATCCACGGGGTGAGCCGTCGGCGCAGCTGTAAGTGCTGATGCCTTTGCTGCTGCTGCTGCTGCTGTTGCTGCTACTGCAGCCCGTAAGCGGACCCACCTCCACTTCGTGCTGGTGCTGCTCATGCTGCTGCTGTTGCTGCTGCTCCCCCTCCTGATCCAAGGCCGAAGACAGCGGCTTCTGTACGGCTTCTGCTGCTGCTGCAGGCGGAGAGTCCTGCTGCTGCCTGCTGCTGTGCCTTTGGGCAACCGCCGCAGCAACACTACGTAGCAGCATCTGCTGCTGCTGGAACAAAAGCGCAGCGTTGCTGCTCCTGCTGCTGCTAGCCGAAGCTGAGCAAGAAACAGCAGAAGCCCCACATGGTGCAGCTTCTGCTGCTGCTGCTGCTGCTGCTGCTGCTGCTGCCTTTGTTGCACGCGAGTAAGAAATAAACATCTCCAGGTCTTGCCAAGTATTTCGCTGTCTGTACACCGCAGACATATCAGGAGAAGCCAACGCGTACACAAGGCTGTTGCTGTTGCTGCTGCTGTTGCTGCTGCTGTCGTTGTTTCTGCTGCCATCGGTGGTGCTGGTGTTGTTGCTGCTGCTGTTGCTGCCGCTGCGCTGCAGAATAAACCCTTCATCTGACTCCGTGCTGGTGCGGCTGCTGCAAAAAGAAGCTGCTGCTTCGAGCTGCTGCTGCTGCTGCTGCTGCTGCCCGTTTTGCTGCAGTTTTGCTACCTCTAGTAAGGGAGTATCCGTGTCTTCTTTACCAGCATCAGGTGCTGTTGCTGCAGATGCTGCTGCTGCTGCTTCCGATCTGCTGCTGCTGCCAGCAGCTGAGAGTCGCGAAAAGAGTTCTACAAAGCTAAGGGTCTTCCCTCCTGCAGCAGCTGCTGCTCTTCCCGTTGCTGCTGCAGGCGCAGTAGCATTGGAAGGCGTGGCAGCTGCCTCCGCTGCAGCAGCTGCAGCACCATCAGCTGCTGCTGCTGCGGCGGCACCAGCCGCAGACTCCTCTGCATCTCCACTGTCATCAGAATCTGCACATGGTGCTGCTGCAGCGGGGGCAGCAGACGTACCAGCACCAGGAGGAGCAGCAGCTGCAGCAACAACAGGAGGACCACCAACACGAGAGAGCAGCACAGGCCTTATCCTCCTCATGCCGTTTTGTAGAATTGTTTCTTGCTGCAGCAGCCGCAGAGGTACAGGAGCAGCAGCAGGAGAAGATGCTGCTGTTGCTGATCCAGCAGCAGCAGGAGATCCATCCGGAGGTGCTCCTGCTGCTGCTGCTGCTGCGGCAATGGGAAGCAACTGCCGTGGCTTCGGCTTCCTTAGAGGGAATGTTGAGTGCAAGAAGCAGCAGCAGCAGCAGCAGCGGCACGCTGTCCAGCTTCCATTTGCTGTTGCTGCTGTTGCTGCTGCTGCAGACCCTGGCTCAGGAGGGACAAACACTGACGTTGCTGCAGCAGCACGTGCTGCTGCAGCAAAATGATCGTAAGAGCTGCAGCAGCGCATGCTGCTGCTGCTAGTCTCCTCAGATGTCAGCCGCACCAGCGCCACATGCCCGCCGCTGCATGCAACAGCCAGCCATAACCCGCCTCGCGTCCTGCAGCACCAACAGCAGCAGCAACAACAACAGCAGCAAGAAACATTCACCCGCGAGTCCACAGGATCAGATGCTACCAGCTCGGAAGACAATTTCTGCTGCTGCTGCTGTTGCTGCTCTGCGCATGCAGCTTCAGCAGCAGCAGCAGCAAGAGCAGCCGCAAATATACTAACCATGAGAAGCCTTGAACGGTGGTGTTCTCATCAAGGAGATTTGTAACAATAGCCACACACTGCCCGTGCTGCTCTTCGGTGTCTTGCTGCTGCTGCTGCTGCTGCTGCTGCTGCGATTGCTGCTGCGATTGCGACTGCTGCAGCGCCTTGGTTTTGGGGGCACTTCCCTTGCCATTAGTGTTAGCAGAGCTGTTGTTGTTGCTGCTGCTGCTATTGCTACTATTGCTGCTGTTGTTGCTGCTGTTGTTGCTGTTGCTGTTGCCGTTGCTGCTGCTGCTGCTATTGCTGCTGCTGCTGTTGCTGCTGAGCGAGACACGCCATATAGAGATAACTCCGTCTTCACTTGCTGCACACACAAAACATCACAACTCTGTAGCTCGTAATTCTTTCTGCTTCTGCTGCTGCTGCTGCTGTTGGTGTTGCTGCTGCTGCTGGTGTTGCTACTGCTGCTGTTGCTGGTGTTTCTGTTGCTTCTGCTGCTGCTGCTGCTGCTGCTGCTGTTACCTTGGCAGTACATAACATGACGCTCTGGTGCTTTCCCCCTCTTAGCCGACACAAACATCCCATCGCCAAAACTCTGCATGCAAACACCAAACCCTAAACCCTAAACCCTAAACCCTTAACCCTAAACCCTTAACCCTAAACCCTTAACCCTAAAACCCTAAACCCTAAACCCTAAACGCTTACAACTGATTTGACGGGTGCCTGATGTCCATAGAAGAAGAGGGGCATCTGCGGTTCTATTAACCCATTAGCATCTACAGCGAAGGCACAACCTGCAAAGACACCGCAGCAGCAGCAGCAGCAGCAGCAAAGGTTGTTAGTTGCTGCTGCTGCTCATGTTCCTTCTGTTGCTTTTGCTGCTGTTGTACTGTCAATGCTCATGCTTCTCCTTGTGTTTGCGCTGCTGCTGCTCCTGCTGGAGCGCCAACAGCAGCAGCACCAATAACAACAACAGCAGCAACAGCAGCAGCAGCATACCTAATGGCCTTTGCTGCTGCTGTGCATGAGAGACGGAGAGTAAATCCCCCGTAAGAGAGAAGGAAGGAATACGCAAGACAGGAGAATCCTCAGGACCTTCCCTTAATACACTCTGTACATAACATATATACATATTTATTTATTTATTTATTTATTTATTTTATTTATTTATTTGTTTATTTATTTTATTTACTTATTTATTTATACTAATTACTGCTGCTGATGATGATGAACACCGAACCAACAACAAGAAATCCTCAACCAACAGAACCAAGGAGTCGCTACCCAAGCAGCAGCAGCAGCAGCAGCAGCAGCAGCAGCAGCAGCAGCAGCAGCAGCAAGCACTCACGTCGTGCTGTGCTGTCTCCTCGATAACCCATTTTGTTTCTCCAGCAGCAGGCGGCTTGCAGCGCCACAAATACAGCTTCTTGCTGCTCGTCTGCAGCAGCAGAAGAACGAGCAGCAGCAGCACCAACAGCATGACATGCAGCAGCAAACAGCAGCCGTAGCAGCAGCAGGTACACCGGACAACTGCGGCAACTGATCTAGACCGCCAGCAGCAACAACAACAGCAGCAGCAGCAACAGCAGCAGCAGCAGCAGCAGACCTGAGCTGCCAGCAGCAGATTATCTGCTCTCCAGCTTAGTCCTTTAATGAGGCCGCCATCAGAGGAAGGAAGACCAAACGTTAAACACGATGTACCGTCAGCTACATGCAGCACAGACAGCCTGCAGCAGCAGCAGCAGCAGCAGCAGCAGCAGCAGCAGCAACAGCAGCAGCACACCAGAAGGGTCACAGCAATAGTTGTAGTAACTAAAGCAGCAGTAGCAGCAGCAAAAGCAACAGCAGCAGCAGCTGCTGCAGCAACAACAGCACCATACCTTCCCCTAGCTCCTGCAGCAACAATGAATCTCTTGTCTGCGCTCCATACAAAATCAAACACCTGAACATCAACAACACACAAAACCGTTGCTGCTGCTGCTGCTGCTGCTGCTGCTGCTGCTGCTGCCATGGTACTGCTGCTGCAGCATGGAAAGGGCAACATGATCCAACGCAGGGAGTAGCAGCAGCAGAGGCAACAGCAACCGGACAAGCAACTGAAGCAGCAACAGCCGCAGCACCCCCGACAGTAGCACGAGCAGCAGCAGCAGCAGCAGCAGCAGCAGCAGCAGCAACAGACCTGAGGTAGAGAGGACTGTGGTGTTTTGAGTGTCTTAACAAGATTCCATTTCTCCGAGTAGACCGTCGCACCAATTGCTGCAGCAATTTCTTCCTGTTCCTGTTCTTGTTGCTGCTGCTGCTGCTGTTGCTGCTGCTGCTGCTGCTGGCTTAATGTGCTTCTCTCCGGGGGCGGAAGGTGAGACAGACGCAAGAAGGGACAAAGGCAGCAACCAGGCTTCGCAGGGGTCTGTACATTTGCCTTCTTTGCTGCTGCTTTCCCTGCTGCTGCTGCTGCTGCTTGTGGACTGCTCTCTGCTGCTGCTGCTGCCTTTGCTGCTGCCTTGCTGCCCTTCACCTTGCCTTGCTGCGGCGATGATTGGGCAGAAGCTGCTGCAGCTGCTGCAGCAGCGGAGGGATTTGCTGCACCTTTCGTTGCATTTGGTGACTGTGCTGGCTTGGATGCAGCACCCCCTTGCTGTTGTTGTTGCTGCTGTTGCTGCTGCTGTTGCTGCTGCTGTGATGATGACACTTGGGTAGGAGGAGATGCCAGCCGCAGCTTCCTCTTCCCTGTTACTTTTGTTTTGCTGCTGCTGCTGCCGCTGCTGCTTAGAGTGTACACATGAATCTCTCCGCTGCTGTCGCATGTAGCCAGGAACTCCCCTGCAATTCACACAGCGGCAGCAGCAGCAGCAGCAGCAGCAGCAGCAGTTTAGGAACAGGATAGTCATGAGCAGCAGCTACTGCTGCTGCGCCGACAACAGCAGCAACGGCAACGGCAGCAGCAGCAAACGGGCATGTACCGGCAGCTGCACAACAGCAAGGCCAGCAGCACTGCTGCAGCAGCATTATTACTACACTGTCCTGCATCATCAGCAGCACCACCAGCAGCACCAAGACTATCACCATCTTCAGCAGCAGCAGGAGCAGCAGCAACAACAGCAGCAGCAGCAGCTAACCATCCCATGTCCATTTAATAGCAGTAACATTAGCCCTATGATTTGCTGCAGCAAAGACACAAGTTGCTCTTGTTAGAGGAAGACGAACTAACGGATTACCATCAACAGCACCTAGTCTCTCTAGTGCTGCTGCTGCTGCTGCTGCAGCAGCAGCAGCAGCAGATCGTGCTGCTGATGATGACTTCAATGCAGCACCAGACTCCGCGGAACCGCCCGCTGGGCCCGTTTCTGCTACTCCTGCTGCTGTTGCTGCTCCTCCTGCTGCTCCTCCTGCTGCGTCAGCAGCACTCAGCTCGCCCTCGGAAGATGCAACGCCCTGGCTGCTGCTGCTGCTGCTGCTGCTGTTGCTGCTTTTGCTGTTGTTAGCTGGTGAAGCAGCAGCCTTCTCCTCTGCACCGTCCTGCTGTTGCTGTTGCTGCTGCTGCACATCTGTCTTCACCTTCTTTGCCGGGGATGCAGCAGCAGCAGCAGCTGCTGCTGCTGCACGACTTGCTGCAAGGATAAGAGAGGCAAGGAGAGAAGATGGTGGTTGCTATAACATCAGAAAGAGGCAGCAACAGCAATAAAGCGAGCAGCAGCAGCAGCAACAGAATGGGCAGCAGCAACAACTACAAACCCAGCAGCGACAACAACAACAACAATGCCAGCAGCAGCAGCAGTAGCAACAACAGCAGCAGCAGCATACGGACCTTGTCTCTTGGCATTTCTTGCTGCTGCAGATATTTCATGAGGTTGGTGTGCATGCAATACCCATATCTTTACGGATGCTGCTGCTGCTGTTGCTAGGCGCTCATAGTTCCAGTAACGCCTCCCTGCAGCAGCAGCAGCAGAAATAGCAGCAGCAGCAGCAGCAGCAGCAAGATAAGCACAAGGAAGAGGTGGCACATAAGAAGCAAAAAGACACTAATTACGTACTCTATGCATGCGCAACCAATAGCTGCAGCAACCGGAGAAACTGTGGCAGCTACGGCAGCAGCAACAGCAGCAAGAGCAGCAGCAGCAGCAGGAAGAGCAGCAGCAGCAGCAGCAAGAGCAGCAGCAACAACAGCAGTAACAAGAACCATACTAGAGCAGCAAGAATAGCAGCAGTCCTACCTGCTGCATGTTTTGCTGCTGCGGCGGCAGTCTGCTGCTTTTGCTGGGAAGCTGTTGCTGCTGCGGTGGTGGTTTGGCGGCGTTGCTTCCCTCCTGCTGCAGCTACAGTCTTGCTGTTGTTGTTGCTGTTGCTGCTGCTGCTGTTGGTGGTGGTGCTGCAGTTTGCTGCTGCATGCGCCTGCACGAACAAGGGATGGGGCTGAAAGGCGAGGGAAGAAATCGGCAATCCGCCGTGGTGTACATTCAGCAGCCTCTCGACTATCATCCTCCGCTGCTGCTGCTGTTGCTGCTGCTGCTGCTACTGTTAATGCTGCTGCTGTTACTGTTGTTGCTGTTGTTGCTCTCTATACACCTGCTCCTGTTCCTATCCATTAAGGATAGACAGATTTACTGGAGCGGTGCTGCTACGTTTCTGCTGCGTTTCTGCTGCGTTGTTGCTGCGTTGCTGCTGCTGTGCTGCTGCTGTGTTGATGATGCTGCTGCGGAAAATGGCGTAGATTTTGCTGCAACAGCAGAAACTGCTGCTGCTGTTGCTATTACTGCTTGTGTAGTTGCTGCAGCTCCTGGGGATGCTGCTGCACTCCCTGCGGTTGCTGCCAGGCAAATGGATCACGCTGCGTCAAAATAGCTGCATGCACCCGCAGCTGCTGCTGTTGCTGCTGTTACTGCTGCTTCTAGCATCAGGTGTTATCCAGGCTGCAGGTGCTGCTTGTGTCTTGTTGCTGCAGCAGTTGTTGCTGCAGCAGAGAAGACACCGCTATGGGTGGGAGCACTCCTGCTGCAGCAGCAGCAGCAGGTGTAGCAGCGCCAGCAGCAAATCTTTTACATACGGCCTTGGTGGGAGTACATTATGAGACATATTTTCTCCCTGCTGCTGCTGTTATTTACCTTGTCTCTTTTGTTTCTTTTCTGCTGCAGCAACGCATGCGTCTTGCTGCTGCCGCCGCTGTCGCCTGCAGCCCCGCAGAGGCGGCGGCAGCGGCCCCTGCTGCGGCACAGAACGCCACAAAACAATGTAACATTGATTTTAAATATAATTTGCGATCAAAAAGAGCAGCAGCAGCAGCAGCTGCTGCTGCTGCTGGCACCGCTGCAGCAGCAGCAGCCAATTTGGGGGGCGGCAACGCCGGGCTAACACCGCATGGACATGCAGCAGCAGCGACAGCAGCTCAACAAGCAGCAGTAGCAGCAGCAGTAGCATCACCAGCAGCAGCAGTCAGCTGCTCTTGCAGCTGCTGCTCCCAGAGGAATGATGGGCTGCCTCTGCTGGCCTGGCCGGCTCTCCCGCGTGCTGCTGCTGCTGACAGTGACAGCAGCAGCGGCAGCAGCAGCCTGCTGCGGCGTGTCTGGCTTAACGATCAGTCGCTCTGTTGCTTCTGCTGCTGCTGAAGGGGGGTTTATAGGCAGGAGCAGCAGCAACTTTTCTGTGGCCTACCCCGTGTTGTTTGGCAGCCTCGCCAAGCAGCTGCAGGACAGCAGACGCAGCAGCAGCAGCAGACGCAGCAGGTGGCGCTCCCTTCCTTATTTCATTATTTCTCCAGGCTGTTTTCCGGCAGGTAACAACAACAATAACAACAACAATAGCAGCAGCAGCAGCAGCAGCAGCAGCAGACTGGCTGCTGTGTCTGCACAGCAGAAGGAGGAGCTGCGGAAGAAGCAAGAGAAGGAATTTCTGCAGCGTAGGAAGGCAAATCAGGCGAAGCAGCGGGAGCGTTTGCTGCTGCTGAAGCAGGAGCGTCAGGAGCAGAAGAACAGGCAGCAGCAGCATCGTCTGCAGCAGGTGCAGCAGCAGCAAGAGAGGGAGGATGGAGTAACTAAGGAGGAGCTAGCTGCCTTACGAGCTAAGATAAGACTACAGGAGCAGCAGAATAGGGTGAAGCAACGTAAGGCACACAACTTGCTGCTGCTGCAGAAGCGGCAGCTAGCGGAGAGGCAGCGGCAGCAGCTAAAGGATCGTCTGCTGCGGGTGCGTATACAGGAAAGAGAAGCAGAGCAGCAGCAGCAGCAGCAAAATAGATTAGGGAGAGCAACAACAAGAGAAGGAAAAAGTCTTAAGATAGCAGAGATAAAACATTTATTAAGGACTTCTTTGCTGCTGCTGCAGTTCAAGACCCAATCAACAGGTACCAATAAGGGCAGGAAAGACAGCAGCAGCAGCAGCAACAACAACAACAGCAACAGCAGCAACAGCAACAGCAGCATAGGCATCAAAACTGTATCTGTAGGTATAACACAGGAGCAGCAGCAGCAAATATTTAGGGAATTAGTTGTTAAAGGATTACATAAATTTGTGCTGCTAAAAAGAATAAAAAACTCCTTAATGAGGACAGCTATACGTCAGATACAAGAAGAGCAGCAGCAGCAGCAGCAGCAGCAGCAAGAACAGCAGCAGCAGCAAGAGCAGCAGCTGCAGCAGGAAATAGAGGACAAGGAGATGCACGAACGGCTGTGGGGCCGATGGGACGATTCTCCTCTAAGTGACGAGGAGATCTATGAGATATTAGGTGTAACAGAGCAGCAGCTGCAGCTGAATAGGAAGCAGCAGCAGCAGGAAGCACAAGCTGCAGCTGCTGCATCAAAGGCCCATGGCAGCAAAGGCGGCAGCAGCAGCAGCACGAAGACAGCTCCAAAGAAGACAGCAGGAGGGAAGAAAGGTGCTGCTGCTGATGATGAGACACTAACTCCAGAGAAATTAGATAAGATGGAGCTTCCTGAGCCTGAGGATTATGCTGCAGCAGCAGCAGCAGCAGCAGCAGCAGAAGATCGTGCTCGTGCTGCAGTAGATGTAGAGGGAGCAAGAAGATCATTAATTGAATCTGCTGATTTGCTGCTTCCTTATCTAAAGGGAGAATGTCTGTATGCATTTATTCATGCATCTGCTGCTGCAGAGGATAGACTACAGGAAGCAGTAAAGTTGCTGCTGCAGCAATATACAGAAGCAGCAGCAGATAATAAAGAAAGAGCAGAGGAAGCAGCAGCAGACACAACAAGAAGGAAACCAGGAGATAAATATATTATTATTCCTGCTGATGATCCTGCACCTGTAGAGGATTTACCTAAATATATGATGACACGTGGTGAGTATGCTGCTGCTGCTGCTGCTGCTGCAGCATCTACTGGTGAGGCTGCTAAAGCTGCTGCAGCAGCTGAAGCAGCAGCAGCAGCAGCAGCAGAAGCAGCATTGGGTAAACCCTCTAATGAATCCCCTTTGCTGCCTGTTGTTGCCTTAACTCCTTCTCTTCTTATTCCCTCTAAGAGTATTCCTCTCCTCCATCAACTCTCCTCACGTAAACAACTCACCCAACAAATTGCAGGTCAGCTAATATATATATACTGCTGCTGCTGCTGCTGCTGCTTGCGTTGCTGCTACTGTTGCTGTTGCTGTTGCTGTTGCTGTACGGTCTTGTAGCAGAATCAGATGAACAAGGACGGCAGCGCCTTCCTTGCTATTCTCTGTTACTAGTTCTTCTGCTGTTCCTGCTGCTGCTTCTGCTGCTGTTCCTGCTGCTGCTTCTGTTGCTGTTCTCCCTCATCTGCTGCTGCATTTGCTGCATGGAACGTAATCCTTGTGTCTGTGCTTCTGCTGCAGATAAGGCTCTCTCTCCCTCATTGCGTCTTCTAGCAGCTCTGCAACAAAGTGGAGGGACGTTAAGCTTCGTGCTACGGGCAACACAGCAGCAGCTGATGGCCCTCTTGGAGCATGGCCGTGCCAAGGCGGAGCAGCAGAAGCAGCAGCATCTCATGCCGCAGAAGCAAGAGCGGCAGCAGGAGCAGCAGCAGGAGCAGCAGCAACAGAAGGACAGCAGCTAGGAATGCAAATATTCCAGCTGATACATCTATTGAGAACTGCGTGGGGAATTCGTGTATTGGCGCCCAGTAGCTCCCTTAGAGGCCCTTTACATAGAGCAGCAGCAGCAGCAGCAGCAGCAGCGGCAGAAGCAGCTGTAGCAGCAGCTGTAGGAGCAGCCGCCGCCGCAGTAGCTAGCTGGATGTATCGTTTTGGGGGTATTGGTTGTTTTGTTTGCCTTCCCCCCCATCTGCTTGTATGGAATGTAATGCAGTGCCATATAGCTATCTGTACACCCGAGCTGTGTGGCAGTAGAGAGGCCAGCAGCATTCTGCTGCATCTGCTGCTGTGCGTTGTACAGAGCAATTCCTGCAGATACACCGCAAGCTCTGAGGCAAAGATCTTCTTCTTAGTTTATAACACTACATAACTTTCCCTTTCCTTCTTCTATTTATGTCACGAATATTGGGAGTGTTTGGTTGTGCTGCTACTATTGCTGCTGCTGTTGCGCGCGTTGAATGTGCTCATCGAACATGTAGCTGCCTCTCTACATCACTAATGACGGAGAATGCCTTATAAAGAAAGCTGTATACTGCATGCAGCATTATTATACATCTGTTGCTCTTCATGGGCAGAGGAGGTCTTTACACTGCAAGATATGCGAGTGCCCCTTGTAAGACGATACGGCGGCAGACAGATCGTGCAGTCGGTGGATTTATTTGTCTTCTAGTATTGCATCATTTCCTCTAAAGCAACTACCAAGTATCCCTCCAGGCATGGCATGGATGCACCGACCTAACAGCTAAGAAAAACAACACTTAAATTTTGTATGGCTGATATTCCCATTTGAGGGTCCCTCGCATAGTGCAGCTAAGAGAGGAGGAATCCTTAATATGAACCTCTGCTAAATGCTCGTATGTTAATATATAAATGGGCAAATGGCATGAAATCTTGGCTGACTGCCTGTTGCTATATATAATACATCTATTTACATATATATTATACACCTACATACCAGCCATGTCTCGTAAAGGGTGGCGAATTCCAATTGTTATCCCCCGCTACAATTACGTCTACATGTAAATTATTTTTGAAGGCTTATGTGAGCTGCTTCTGCTGCTGCTGCAGCAACAAGAACAGAAAACTTCCGCAGTGGGGTGGTTGCCACCTCGAGCCTCCGCCGCTCCCCAACAGCAGATGCGGATGAATGAAGAGTTGTTAGCTCTGTCTGACTATCTGTTTTCCTTCCATTTGTTAGGTAATCCAAAAAATTAATTAGGAAAAGATATAATTTTATTACTTTTAGTTGTAAATGCCTGTACGAGGGAGCGGCTGTTGAACGATTGCTGTGGGGCTCCGCCGTGAAGGACAGAGAGAGCCAGTGAGTGTCCTTCTCCCAGCCTCGGTCAGGCCTGTGCCAACCACTCCTCTCTTTATCTGTTGGAAAGGAGGCAAATTAGAGGGCTTTTGTTTGTTTTTTGTATCGATTGGAACACACTGAACAGGTGTCCATTCATACTCATCTAGCCCGCCGCCTCTCTTTCTCTTCCCCTCATAGAGACGAGAGGCCTTCAACTTAGTTAGGATGGCAGCGTTCGCCCGGCTGGCCCGGGCGTATCGCCTTTCCTCTTCCTCCGTAGTTAATTCCGGCTCATACTCCAGCAGATTCAATGCTCGAATTGCAGCTCTAGCATGTGCTGCTGCAGGCTCAGCATTGTTTGTTGCGGCCATCGACCCTCGCGGTCAGTCCACCGCTATGTGCGAAGGCCCTAATGGTGATAAGAATCATGAAAACCCCCTCTGGAGATCCAGGGAGAGCCAGCCCTTCGCGAGGAAACTTGGTGACGCGTTGCTCTTCACGGGAACTGCGAATGAGCATTTGGGGTCAGCCGTTGCAGAAAGACTCTCCACACGTTTGGGGAGGGTTTCTGTAGGTCGATTTGCCGATGGAGAAGTAAACATTCAGTTTTTAGATTCTCTTAGAGGGAAAGATGTTTACATCATCCAACCCACCAGCACTCCTGTCAACGACCACCTCATGGAGCTTCTCTTAATGATTTCAACTTGCCGCCGCGCTTCCGCCAAAAAGATTACTGCAGTCATTCCGTACTTTGGATATGCCAGACAAGACAGGAAGATGAATAGCCGAGTCCCAATCTCAGCGGTGCGCCTTCCGTTAAACTAACAGTTCTCTACCGTGCATCTTCGCCATCACCCAATTGATCTCATGGATGAAGAATATTGTGCATGCATGCATGCGTGCGAATTAGTCGTTCGTTTTTTATAAGGGTGGCTTCATGTGGACGGGGGCATCTTTCTCTTTTGTTGGCTATGCCTGGTAGCCTTCTTGGTTGTGTAGAACGATATGCAGGCTTCTTTTTGTTTGTATTTTAGGCGGATGTTGCGCGGATGATGGAGGCTATGGGCGTAGACAGAGTAGTTGCGGTAGATCTGCACTGCGGGCAGATTCAAGGTTTCTTCGGCCCTCGTGTGCCGGTAGATAATGTGGAGGCACAGATTGTTGGCTTGGACTATTTCGAGTCGAAAGATTTGGAAAAGCCGGTCGTTGTTTCCCCTGATGCTGGCGGCGTCTATAGGTAGGGCATCGAATACTTAAAGGCCTAATGGGATCATTTGCTGTTTGCATTCTAGTCTTTGTCTTCGGATGTGTCCTCCAAGACTGTTCATCGTGTTCATTTATTCAATAAAGTTTTGAATTTTCATGTTAGGTTTCTTCTCTGTCGTTTTCTCCCGCTTTCGTGTTCAGGGCGCGCAAGTTTCAGGAAGGAATGGTTCGCCGTGGCTACAAAGATTGTTCGATAGCCATGTTGATTAAGCGGCGGATCAAGGCGAACGAAGTGGAAAGCATGGATCTTGTTGGATCTGTAGAGGGACGCGACGCTATCATCGTAGATGACATGATCGATACCGCCGGTACCTTGGTGGAAGCCGCCAGGGAGCTTAAGAAGAAGGGTGCAAAGAGAGTTTATGCATTTGCCACGCACGGCCTGTTTAGCGGACCTGCGATAGACAGGATCCAAAAAAGTGCACTGGAAGAGGTCGTCATCACGGACACAATCAAAGTCAGTTGGCACTGTCTGATGCAGAAGGATAAAAGTGATGACAGATCGTTGAGCGACTGTGCACAGATTTGTTGTGGTGTACGTACACCGCTCCAGTCCGAAATCCGTTCATATAGCCATTTTTGTCTTTTATTGTGTTTGTGGATTATTCAGGCACGGCCTATGGTCACTAGTTGCAAGAAAATAAAAATTCTTTCCATTTCCATTTTATTGGCGGACGCAATTCGCCGAATTCACCAGAAGGAGAGTCTAAATGACTTATTCAACTTCGCCAGTGCACCCCGCTTGCAGTCAGCTTCAGGCAGTGATGCATCACCAAAGCAGCCCTAGCCAGCGAACAGGCGCTTATAGCCTCGGAACGACTGGCCAGTGCAAGGGATCATCCGCTATTGATTTTTTTCTAGCAATTGACAGATCGCGAAACCCGCCGTCTGTTTTCTAGATACAGAGAAAGAAAATTCTGTGTCGCCGCCAGCGTGGCCATATTATATAAAGAGAGAAACGGATGTTGCAGCCAGCGCCTTTGCCCACCCCATTAGGGCTCTTGCGTTAGTGCTTGTGCATTGGTCTCGCGTTCGTGCTTGTGCTGTGTCATCCAATCTAGCGATAGCAGGCAGTAGTTCGCCATCTCGCTAGATGGCAAAACAATGGAAATTATTGGTTTATCTTTGATCGTGTTCTGTTGGCTTCACTTGCAGCAGACAAGCTGCAAACAACTACAGCAACCCCAGTGTATGGGTAACTGTATTGCTGTATTGCTGGTGTGTGGTAGAGACGAAGGAGTGTGCTTACCCGCACAATAGAGGCGATGAATTTGTCTTTCTTGTACCTCTTATGGGCCAGGGGCCTAAGAGAGTAGACAGAGATTGGTGCTCCTTCGTGTTTAAGTGACGAAATAGGACGTCCTGTACATGTCGCTGCTACACAGTTCGGACTGCGGGTAAATATCTATGTATGTGGGCGGTCATCAGAAGCTTCTAAAGGGACATTAGGAGCAGAACGTGTCTCGAAAGTTCCTGTGGCATAGTTAAAACATCAACGGTCAGGGCAGTATTAAACACTTCGAAATAACGCAGGGCAAGAGCGATTTGGGGCAGTTTGTTATGCTCAAAAAAACTTTTGGGGGGTAGTGCCCCTCTTGAGCTAAAGGGCACGCAGTAAAGGGGATTAACTTGTTTCTCTTTTCTTCCAAACTGTATAAGAAATATACTGTATTTATAATTATGGGACGGAGTAACATGCCATCGAGCGCTGCTTTCGACTCACTGTCAAGGGGGCCCCCTGGGGGCCCACCGCATGAAGTGCTCTGGCATTTGGAGGTGTAACTGCGATTACCCGACTTGAAACTCTTGTTTTTTTCCATTTTTCTTATTTATACCTTTATTGAAATCTCATTTGCCAAGGGGTTTCTGTCTTGGGTTGCACGTTAGGTTTGGCAGCTCAAATCGAGTCAGTCGGCTGCGGGGCCTGCAGACACTCGGGGCGGTTGTAAGGCAGACAGGAGGCTACTCAGCAATTGCCTTCACCGTAAAAATAGATTTTATTAGATAGGATCATCCTAAGAAACTGATTAAGAAAATTTTTATTCTGCAACCTAGTAACAACTCGCGTAGCTTCTGGCAGAAAGGTTGAACCAGAACATCCCCCTTAGATGTTTGTTCATTTGTGTGTCTCAAAGCCTTTTTTCCCCTCTTTCCCTTTCTCTGTTGTTTTATCCCTTTTCTGCTCTGAATATCTGTCTTGGACTGCTGCTTAGTGGCAACGGCGGACACGAAGTATTGGTTCTGGGGGCCCCACACGTTCGTGCTGATGGAACCGCAGCCAGGGGCCTCCTCCAGTACTCTCATTAAGGCGGCAACAGGGGATCCTTCTAGGGGACCTTCCCTGCCTCCTTCTTTAAAACGATGGCTCCCTGATTTCCTTAGTGAAAACCCTTACTTCTGTGCAGGCTTTGGTTTGGCGGGTCTAGGTATGTCGTCTGGTCTTGCTGCTGCGATTGTTGCTGCTGCTGTTTTACTCTTGAGGTTGCTGTTGCTGTTCTGCTGCTGTGCTTCTATTGCTGCTGCTGCATGCATCTGTGAGTTCTGTATGCTGCCTCCTGCCGCCGTGTGGTTGGGCTAGTGTATCTCTGTATCCTTCTTTACTTCCTTACTCAGGTGCTGCTGCCTCTATAACAAGAGCTGGTACTCGTGCTTTAAAGGGTATATGTAAGCGACGGCTGCTGACGTCCCTTGAGGTGCCCATTAGAGACCCCGCCTATCCTTGGGTCATGCAATGGCTCGTTGCCAAGTATGCACGCAAACATAAAAGGTCTTGCTGCTGCTGCTACCGGCTGCTTCTGCTTACTCCTGCTGCTATTTCTGTAACTGCTGCTGGTTCTCATGGGCTCAACCCTATTGTTTCTATGGCTGGGGCACTACCAGGCGTTGCATCAGTCGCAGCATCACGAGCAGCAATAGTAGCAGCAGCAAGAGGCGTGTGGTGCATGATCTCAGAGGGAAGTGTTCGCTGCACCTTGGCGTAGAGACAACTTACGGGAAGGACGCAGCGGGGAATGTGGAGGCGGTCTTTAACTTTGTCCCCAGCCCAGGTGTGTTGCATCTACAACACCAACAGCAGCAGAAGAAGCAGCTGCAAGAGCTGCTGCAGGAAGAGCAGGGTTTTACATAGAGTATACCTTGTTGTTGCTGCTGCTGTGGGGTGTATATGCAGGGCAGCACGTGCTGCGATATAAGAAGGCCTTGCTGCTTGTAGATCGTCAGCGGTCAGGGGAGGTGGTGGACTTTAGCTCGGGATCGCCTTGGGAGACTCTTACCCTTACCACTCTGTCCTTATATAAACACTGCTTATCCGACCTAGTAAGTAACTAATAATAGTTAACTAGCTCGATCGCTAGCTAACTGGATAGATAGCTCTATTAATAGCTCTGGCTTACTAATTCATTGGCTGACGGGCTAGCTAGCTGGATAAATAGATAGCTAGCTGGATAGCTAACCAACTGGCTATAGCTGGATCCCTCCATAGTTAGCTTGCTAGGTAGGTGCTAGTTAGCGCAGAATGGACGCCTTCCTACCCCGTGTGATCTCCTCTGTATGGTAGTCCGAAGGTAAGAAAGGGAAAGAGTGGTGCCTTTGTATATCATCCTCTTGTCTCATCCTTGAGGCGTACGTACACCCCATGGATGCACAGCAATCTGCTAGCTGCGCGTGCTTGCAGCTCAACGAAGCGCGAGAGGCGGCGCTTCAAAGAGAAGAGGGAAAGACAGTTATCTACAGAAGGTTGGGACAACCACTGCTGCTGGTGTTTCCCCCTTTGCTGCTTCCTCTGCTGCTGCCTCTGCTGCATTAGTCAATGGCAGGCTCAGCTTGCAGCTAGTCAGAACTACGTTCGCCCCAAGGGTGTCTGCTGTGCTGCTGTTGTTGCTATAGTAGTTGTTGTTTCTGCTGCTGCGGATTGGATGCAGCACGGGACAAGAGTGGAGGAAGTACGGAGAGCCAAAGAGGCTGCGACCTTTTGAGTCAGTTGTGTTAGCAGGCAAGTTGCTTTTGTCGCCTTCTTTATCTGTGTCTTATATTTTCTTTCTTCCTTTTCCCCCTTTGTGTCGCATTGACGACTATTGCTGCTACTGCTGCTGTTGTTGTAACTCCTGCTCCTCCCTCATCCTGCTTCTCGTCCTACTGCTGTTGCTGCATTTGCTACACTTCCTGCACATGTGTGTGTGTATGTGTGTGTGTGTGTGTGTGTGTGTGTATCTTTAGAGGGTGTATCAGAGAGTTTATTAGCAGATGTGTATAGATTTCTTTCTTCTTCCTCTTGGTATTTAAGTAGAGGAATTCCCTATCGTCGTGGTTATCTTCTGCATGGCCCCCCCGGCTGTGGTAAGAGCAGCTTTGTCTTAGCCTTAGCAGGAAAACTTAAATATAATATTTGCGTCCTTAATATTGCCGACCCTCATCTTACAGATGACAGACTGCAATACCTACTCGCGTACGTATTACAATTCTATATACCCAACCTTACCTGCTGCTGTTGCTGTTGCAAACACTGCACTCGTGCTGCTCATTCTCTGCTTCTCCTGCTGTTTCGGCTGCATTCGGGTTGCATCTATTCTGCTGCTTCGCCTGCTCTGCTGCTCCTACTGTGTCCGTTGCACTCTTGCTGCACCTGCCGTGCTGCCCTTGTTCCTTCCGCTGCTGCTGCTTGAGATAGCCCTGCTGGAGATTTGGTCTTCGTGGGGCTACCCTTGGGAGAGGAGTCGGGGGCAGAGAGAGAGACGCTCAAGAAGAGCGATAAAGAATTCCGCTGCTGCTGCTGTTGCTGCTGCACTGTTAATCCTAACGTGCTGCATTCTCTGCGTTGCCTCGACAGGACAGTCCCTCCTCGTTCGCTGCTGCTGCTGGAAGATATCGACGGCGCCATCCGCCGTTCTGAAGCAGCAAGTGAAAAGGAGGGTGCAACAGTAGCAGCAGCAGCAGCAACAGCAGATAGGCCCACTTTAACTCAGCTATCCCTTAATCCCTTCGGTGCAAGAAGCGTCACATTCAGTGGCCTCCTCAATGCACTCGATGGTGTACGTACTGCGCTTATGCTGCTGCTCTGCTGCTCCTGCTGAGCTGCTTATGCTGCTCTGGTGCCGTTGCCCTCTTGTCACCGTGGAGAGCATCCGGTAGTACGGCTGCTGCTGCTCCTGCTGCAGCAACAGCAGTACGATCTAGCATGGCGTGGTTTGTATGTGTTGCATGACAGGTAGTGGCAACGGAAGAGAGGATTATATTCCTAACAACAAACCATCCTGAGAGGTCAGCAGTTTATTTATTAATATTATTTCTTTCCTTCTTTTCTGTATTTGTTTTCTTTACAATGCACACTTAATGTAGTACAATTAAGTAGTCTTCTTAGTCTTCTCTGTATTGTTGTTTTTATGCAATGCAGTTGATTTACTATAATTGTCTTTCTGCTGTGTCTCTTCTTTTACATCTCTGCTCATTTATTATTACTATTATTCTTTCTTCTGTTCCTGTCTTCCACGAGTGTTGTATTTCTTCCCCTCGACGACCCATTTAGCGATTGTCGCGAACTGTGCAAAGGAAGGCTGCATGCCCCATGCAGCAGCAGCTGCTGCAACTATCAACGTGTGTGCAAAGAAAGTCCGCTGCTGCATGCAGCAGCAGCACCAACTGCAGGGTGTGTATCTGCAGGTTGCCGGCCTCCTTAATACGTCCGGGCCGAGTCGATCTTAAGGTCCGCATTGGGTATGCAACCCCTCATCAGCTTAAGAAACAGGTAAACTCTTTCTTTATTTCTTTTGGCATTTGTTTCTTTCTTTCCTCTTTTCTTTTTTTTTTAGTCGCTTTTTGTCAGTTTTCTTTTTCCTGTTCTTTTTCATCTATTCTCTTGTTTGTTTTCGTTTCTTGTTTCCTTTTCTGTTTCTTTGGTTGTCTCTCGCTGAATTGTTTTTTCTTGCTTTCTCTTGTTTTCTGCTTTTCTGCGCTCCTTGCATCTGTCTTTGCTTCGTTCCTCTATGTGTTTCCTTGTATCTTCGTCTCCGTCCCTCTTGTCTGTCATGTCAGTGTCTGTTTATGATTTGTTGGCTTGTCTCTGTTTCTTATGATTTTACTTGCAGTTTTTCCGTTTTCTACCAGATGCAACAGAGGAAGCTGCGGAGGAGTTCGTCTCTCTTTTGTCTCCTCTCCGCATTAGTAAGGACGATATATCGCCATGCAGCTGCTCTGCCTGCTGCTTCTGACTCTGCTGCAGAAACACCTGCTGCTGCTGCAGCTGCTGCTCTTGTCTATTCTTCTGGCCTGCTCCCCCAGCTCTGCTCTGCTGCTGCTGTTGTTCTCTCCTCGTTGTCAGCTGCTCGCCTATTCCATTCCCACTCGCCCCACTCCGCACTCTCTTAAAGTTCATATTGCGTTGCATATAGATTTATACATACATACACCCAGACGAACATAATGAATATGTATATTAACATATTTGTAGATACCACATTCATAACCATACATATACAGAAAGAGCAACTAACAAACTGCTGCATGTATTTGTTAATGGATGCCGGAGGGTATGGCCTGTACAGGCTTGTTTTGTATGAGTCTTCTTGTCGCTTGTTTGGTGTGATTGAGTTGCGTTGCGTGCATTCTTGGGGGACAGAGAGAAGCCGGCGTATTAACCTTTCTTGTTTGCTGTTCTTTTGCTGCTGCTCTCTGCGCTGCCTATCCGTCTACAGCTATGGCCGAGCTGCAGGGTTTCTTCTTATTCTGCCGTGATGACTGCAAACAGGCATTAGAAATGGCAAAGGCTTGGAAAGAAGCAGACCAGCAGGTGCTCCAGGAAATGCAACTCAAGCAGCAGCAGCAAGATATGCAACAGGCTGAACGCCAGCAGAAACAGCAGCAGCAGCAACAACAGCAGCGGCACCAAGCGCAACAACAGACAAAGAAACACACCTGAGGAACTACCCAGCTATCAGGCTGCATGGAGTCATATTTGAACAATCAGAAACGCGCCTTTCTACAGCATCAAGCTAGTTAGAGAGCCATCTAGCTAGGTAGGTACCGCAAATATGGGCAGCGCAGCCAGACAAGAGCAGGTAAACAGAAATAGATAGCGGAGCTAAAAATCCCGCCTAAATCCGGGAGAGACCCGCAAAACCATAACCGCAGCAGTAGTAGCAGCAGTAGTAGCAGTAATGCAGCAGCTGAGCCAGTGCAGCAGCAGCATCTGTTGCGCTAGAGTTGAACATCTGTTAAGAGAGGTGGTTGTTGTTGCTCGTATAAAGGCAACGCTCGCTTTTACTTGCGTCTGCGCGCACACTGGCGCATGCATGCATTGCATGCATGCTTGAACAGTTCTTGCATGCAGAAGAATGCATGTATGGATTGATCAGAGCAGCTGAAGAGAAAATCCCAATAATTGGAGAGATACCCTGCTGCTGCGGCACTTGCTGCACCTACCCGACTCATCCATGCAGCACTGCACCAGGCATGCACGCGTGCACTATAGTCGTGCCTCCGTTAGTCAGAATACCCACCTCAAGCAGTTATTCTCACTCATCGCAGTCCTCCGTAAATCAGCTCCACAGTGGCAGACTCCTGCAGCGGGGGATGCCGTTGGAGCAACAGGCCAGGCTGCAGCAGACACCGCTGCATCGGGAGCCGCGGAGCAGCTGGCGCACCAGCAGCAGCTGCTACTGGTGCTCCACAGCTGCTACTCCCGCAAATACGGCAGAAGCAGCCTTTAGCACTTGTCTTGCAGTATCGTGGAGCGGCAGCTCTAAAGAGTTCTTGCATAAAACAAGACAGATGTTTCGCATACGTCTTGGTGGTTGTTGTTGATATTGAGGTGTGCTGCTGCGTGATGGTGCAGCAGGTATACAGGTACACAGCTTGAATATTGCTGGTAGCTGGTGGTACTGCACATAAGCTTGGGTTCTTGTACTCTGTGTGCGGGTCCCCGCTAGTCTCGCATTTTCCCAAACGGCGCAGCAGCCAGCAGCATAAGCAATACAAGCATCCTTGAGGCCTCAACAGCAGCAGTAGCTGAAGCGGTATATTTTCGAGTAGCATCGATTTTCAAACGCGTTCGTGTGTTTGTTAAAACTGTATCGGGTACGAAACCGACCTGTTGGTGCTGCAGCTGCAGCAGCACCTCTGTGCTCTGCGCAATGTTTTAACGTGAAGGCTTCCCGCGCTTTACAGGCGAAAAGACGCGCCAGCTGCCCAGCAGCAACAGCGCAGCAAGAGGAAGCCCAGAAAGCAGACAAAAAGAGACACACGAATAATCTCATCTGCAACCATAACGGCCGAATACATTTGGATGGCCCGTGGCATCGCCGTGCACTGAAGGCATGCCGAGATGCTGCTGCTGCTGCTGTTGCAGCAGTCCAGCAGGAGGCGCCGCCGCCCTGTAGGCTGACGTCTGTACATGAGTCTGCTGTGCAGGAGCGCCCGTGCTTATATGAAGCTGCTGCAACTGTTGCAACTGCTGAAGCTGCGACAGCTGCTGCAGCGGTGATGCTCCCAGATGCACCTGTTGCTGCCTGGGAAGACGTGAAGAATCAAGAAAAGGCTGCTGTACACCATACGGGTTTGGTGCATAGTGCTGCTGCACCTGCTGCGGCTGTCTGTAATGAGACATATACGGCTGTTGAGGGTGCTGCTGCAGCAGGCTCGGAGCAGCAGCAGCAGCTGGCGCAGCACCGCCTCCTGCTACAGGATATCGGTGCTGAGCAGCATGCTGGTGAGGCTGCTGCTGACGAGCAAACATCTGGAGGCCCATATTATGCTGGCCGTCCTGTGCATGCATTGGAAAAGGGTTCATCCGACTGCAGCAGCAAGAAAGCACAGTAAAAGCAGCAGCAGCAGCGATTCCATCCTGCCTCTACGTTCTGCTAGTCTATCTATGTAACTTGCATGCCAGCTACTACGCGCAAGACAGCACTACATATCACTGCTGCAACAGCAGCAGCAACAACGGCAGCAGCAGTGCCGCTGGAGTCAACTGTAGCGTCAGCGTCCACCATCGTTGACCATCTTCTAAAAGGGGCGCCTCAAACCGGAAAAGAACCCTTAGCCTCTCTACACTGCTCTTGCTGCTGTTGCTGTTGCTCTTGCTCTTGCTGTTGTTGCTGCTGCATTTTTGCAGGGGAGTTAAACACTTAAGCTGAAAAGGCACTTACTAAGTTCTCTGATGAGGAGGCACAGCCTGGCTGCCTGCAGCGTCGTTGCTGGCGTAAGCTCCTGCTGCAGCACATAGGAACAACAATACGACCCATGGCTGCTGATGATGATGATTCTGCTGCCGCTGCTTGTGATTCTGCTGCTGCTGCTAATGATTCTGCTTCTACCGTTGCTGCTACTGCTGTCTCAAGTTGTTACTTCGGGTGTGAGTCACTAATGCGTGTACGTACCAAGTTGGGGGGCTGGAGGCCCTCCTTGCTGAGGCTTGAAATGCATTGCCGCTGCCTGCTGCGTCCTCATATGTCCTCTACTGCCAGTAGCGCCGCCGCTGCGCCGTGGATCGGTAGACGAAGCAACGTTTGTTGAGAAGCGCTGTTGCTGTTGCTGCTGCTTATTCCCCTGAAGCCCGTATTGTTGTTGCTGTTGCTGCTGGCGGTGCTGTTGGCGGTGCTGACCGCCTCCTGGAGCTGCTCGACCACTCGTGTAGCCCCCTCCTCCCCGTCTCAAGTTCTGTCCACTTCGGTTCTGTAGCCGCTGCTTCTGCTGGTGCTTGTGCTGCTGGTAACCCCTGCCGCGTGTATGGCTCATGTTGCCTCCACCGTGCTGTTTGCCGCCCCCTCCCTGGCCGCTTCGTCCCTTCTGCTTGCCAAAATTCACCCGGCCAGACTCTCGTTGCTGCGATTCCTGCGTACATAAAGGCGGAGAAGCAAAGCAAAGACAGCTGCAGCAGCAACAGCCAAAAGGTTGTCTTGGTGCTGAAAGAATCCCAAACCCATCATGCAGTCGCAGCACACATGATCATCAGGCACCACAGGGCATACACGCAAATGGACACAGTACATAAGAGCATCTACATGCAAACCGTACTCACCCACGCAGACACAGTGTACAAGCGCACGCAAATCGACTATACACACACCTGCACTGACTCTCTAGACATACATGTACATATACGCATCGATACTTATGTGCCTCCATATATGCACGCAAGGAAGTGCTGCTTCTGCTGCTGATGATGCTGCTATGTATATGCTAGGTGGTTGTACCTTCAAGAGGCCGCTGAAGTGCTTGGCGATGGCAGGTATGTCAAAGAGCGGCAGACTGGCTCCTTGTTGTACTTCAGCGACACTGAAGGCCGGCAAAGTGAACGACGGAGCCTCGTCTGCGTTTTTCTTGCCTCCCCCTCTCCTCCCGTTCCGCCGCAGCGGCAAACCCTCCTCAAACAGCAGCTGCACGCGCGAATCCTCAGCACACCCTACACGCAAAAGAACCATTAGCACACCCACGGCAGCAGGTTTACAGCTGAGAGTTTAGCGTTTACAGTTTAAGGTTTGCGAAAATAAGTCTCAGGAAAACAGATGCAGTTCAAAGGGACGAGAAGGCTCTGCCCCTATGGGGTTTGTGGTGTGAAGCACAGCGTGCACGGTTAAGGGCTGGGGGTTTATGGTTTGCTGTTGAGGAGTCAGGGCTTGTGGGGAGTTGTGTTGTGCGCACCCGCTTTAACGAGGTATTCGTTTGCTTGCCAAGGAGGTATGGGCTGGTTGCAATTTGTAAGAAGATCATCTAAAGCGGCCCGAAGCTCCTGGAAGCCTTCTTCCACAATAATAAGGGCCTCCTGTTGCTGGCGTCTCCCTCCAAACCCTCCTCTTGTCGGTGCGCTGTGGTGCAATGCTGCGGCGGCGGCTGCTGCTGCTGCTGGGTCGCCTTGTAGCACGCGCGACAGTATATGCCGCAGCACATTGACCCGCAGCAAATCTCCCAAGGTGATGGTAGTAGAGCCAGCGCTGTTCAGTAAATTTACCGAGTCAAATACCACGATACTGCAGCAGCAATGAACCCACATGCAGAAGGCCGATACCCTAAAACCCACGCTCTGCCTGCCTACACAGAACAACCCAATTCGTCGTGCATGCACGCCTTTCAGAGGGAAAAGCTATGCATTAGAACGCATATGAAGGTGCTACTGCTTGTGCGTCTGCTGTTGAGTCCCATGCTGCGTCTGCTGATGATGCAGCTGCTGTTAGTCTTGCTGCACTACCCGCGAATGCTGTTGTTGTTGCTCATGTTGATTCTAATGGTACTGCTGCTGCGATTGCTGTCCTTGGGAATGGTACTGTCGTTGGTTTTTCTACTTATGTTGATGGTGTCTCTGCTGCTACTGCAGCCCCTGTTGCAGCTAGTGCATGCTTGTACTTGGTAACAGCGAGTGGTTGCGTAGGGGAGGCTTTGACAGTGAGCTCAACATGACAATTGCCAGGAAGAAAGGCCAGTATTAGAACCAGCGACTCCCGTTGTGGTAATACCGTTATGCCCTCAGCCCACGCCTGGGACAGGCTGTCTTTGTTCTGCTGCGCCACCGCCACCGCATACACTTCACTTGCCTGCAACACACGACAATACAAACTCACTCCTGCTGCTGTTGCTGCTGCAGACGCTGCTGCAGGCCGGTGCGCTACCGGCTGAACCCCGAAGACTGCATGCCAGGGGAAAGAAGAGCTGCACGGGGTACACTCGAACGTTGCACAGGCAAACCGAAGGAAGATACAACCACAAACGGCGACAGGCAAACACAGAGGATAAGCACAAACACAGAAAGATGCCCACAGCGGGCAAGCAAACACAACGCAACACAACACACGCAGTACGCAGAGAAACAGCAAAACGCCGGAAGCTACCGCTCAGCAGCAAGCCAAGGATGTGGACGGCGCTCTGCTGGAGGTGTTGGGAATTGCGTTATTACAACTGACGCAGCAAACAGCAGCAGCAAGAAGAAGCAGATGGGGAGCAGTATGAAGGGAGCAACGGACAACGAAGGACGCACAAAAACACAGCCAAACATATATGTAGACGATGCAGCGTCGGCCTGCTGCTGTCTCCTCCCTTCTGGCATTTTTTCCGTTGTTTTGACCGCGCAAACCGTTCAGACTCACCTGCTGGAAGACTCGCTTGCCGGCTGCGGAGGCCGATGCTGCTACAGGGCAAACCCCCATGGCTCCTATCGGCGATCGGTAGCTCAGGATGCCCTGCACTTTCGTTGCCTTCGAAGACTTGCTATTGCTGCTGCTGCTGCTCGTAGCTGACGCTTCTTGAGGATTCATGAAATACCAGGATACAGCAAAAGGAGAGACAGGACGAACCAGATCCACCGGCTGATACATCGTCCGTGGGTACTTCAAATATTCAAAAGCTGACGTTCCTACTTTTGCTGCTGCCGTTCCTTTTCCCCTGCAGCGGCAAACACCAGCACGCAGCAGCAAACAGACTCTCCCTGCTCCCTACTAACGCCAACCAGCCTCCCCAGCGACACTACCGAACGAAAAACACAGAAGCATATGCCGCCGCTGCAGCAGAGACAGCAGCAGCAGCACCCTCGCTGCTGCTGCTTCATGCGCACAGCGGCGACTGTGTCAATCCACGCAACCAAACAAATGAAGAGTGCCAGTGCTGCAGCAGTTGCCCGGGGGCAGAGTGGGCGCAGGGAAGGTTCGAAGAGGCAACTAACGAAGCAGAGCTGCATCAACAGCAGCTGCTCGCTCCACCAGCTGCAGGCGTGTGTTGCAGCATCGAGTGTGTACTTCTGCAGTAGCAAGCGGATCAGCAAATGAACCAGTCATCTTAAGGGATTCACGCACAGGCCCCGGACCCATTGGGATCCATAAGCCATGCAGAGCCTTTCTGTTTTGAACATACACTTTGTCTTCTTCGGTTTCTCGGTTAGCGTTTTCCTCCTCCTCCTGCTTTTGTGGCACCGCTTCTACTTTATTCGTTCCAGGCGCCCACAAGCTGAATTTCCAACGGCCGCAGGCATATTGGTTGATGAGCTGGGCGCAGACAGGATGGGAGGGGAAGAGTGTGCAGGGGCTGAAGTGCTTGCCGCGAATGGGTTCTTCTTGTGAAATCTTCTCGTTAACTGCCTTGAGTTCGCTGCTGCATTCAAACGGGGAATTGCACACATTCAATACCCCCATAACCTGCATAGCCTCCTCCTCCCGTTTCTCCTTGCCTTCCTCTGCTTCATCTTCCACGGCGCCCCAGTGCCGCTTCCCTTGCCTCACGAACTCCTCCCGCTCATTCTTCAATTTACTCACGAATTCAGCAGTCGGCGGAGAGCGCAGCTGCTGTCTGTACGCTTCTGCTGCTGCTGCTGCTGTTTCAGCGTTATAATGGAAGCACTCGTTTCGCGGCGTGGGAGGCAGGTACAGGATGCAGTTGGCATATAGGTCTAGAGGTGCCCTCGATTTCAACATCTGCTGCACCGAAGCATCTTCAGCTGCAGCAGCAGACGAAGCCGAGATGTATATACCACCTATATCGTCGGGCAACAGGAGCAAAAAATCCACGCCAGGAAGCACCACTGACAACGCCTGTGCTATGTGCTCTAGCTTCTCCCGTGAAAACCCCCGGTTGAAAAACAAGCAACGACTCAGCTCCACGCCCCGGTCCACAAGCCCTGCGCAAACACCAGCAAAAGCAAACCCCAACCCTAGCCCTAAACCCTAAATACGCAAATCTGCCTAACTTGGGGAATTAGCGGACGCCATCAACAACAGCAGTCCGTCACCGTGGCATCAGCAACAGGGACAGTCGTCGATCTGTCAAATCACAACGCGCTGCAGTACTCTAACAAGTTGAGGAGCAACACCAGGCACAGCACTACTACCGACAGCTCCGCGAATCGCTGGGAAACCAGCAGGAGCCACAAGAGGGGCAACCGCAGCAGCACCAACGAAAGCTCTAATGGTCAGAGCCGGTCTTACAGCTGTACAAAGCCACAGACGCCCCTCCTGAGTCATCACTCCCATTGCTGCCCTCCTCGCTATCCTCTCCGCTGATGTAATTCTTCACTTTTCCGACCAAGACATCCTCTCCGCTGATGCAGTTCTTCACTTTTCCGACCAAGAAAGCCGGCGAGAAGGAAGCAGCAAGAAGTGTCTTAAGGATGAGCGCGTCGGACAAAAAATGCTGTTCAACTGCTGCTGCTGCTGCTGCGGGTTCATAAAACATCGCAGCGTCGAACGAACCGTCATCTGCAGCAACCCCCTGTTGCTCCGCCGGCAACACCGATTGCTGCAGCTGCTGCTGCTGCTGCTGCTGCTGCTGCGCACTCCTCACTTTCCCTGCAACCGGTTGCTGCCGCTGGCGCGCGGGGAAGACGCTGCCATCTTGCAGCAGCTGTAGTAAAAATCCGAACTCCTTGTACGCGGAGGACGCTGCAAGCAATAGCAGCAGAATACAGAGCGGGAACAGAGAAAAGGGATAGTGGGCGCAGCTTGTACCCGTACAGATGGTGGTTTACATTCCAGCGGAGGCAGAAACAAATAGAACAGATACACCAGATTCCTCATCTCTACGGTACCTGTGTTCTGCTTCTGCTGCAGGGTACCGTATCTGCAGCAGCACTGCGGCGCTACTATTGTTGCTGATGCTGTTGCTGATGCAGAAGCGAGAAGGATATCTGATATGTCTCTACAACAGCAGCAGCAGCCAACACGCACGGAAGGAAACAGCAACCCACATGGATCTACAATTCGCCGAACGCGATGACAGAGATCGCAGACGAGAAGGGTTGTCTGCACGAGACGTTTCGGCAGGATTGCATGCAGGCGCCCGAACTCACGGGCTGCCCGGTTGTACTCCATCTGCAACAAGATAGCAAAGTTAATGACACTATGACCAATCAAACAAAGCCAGCACATGCAGACAAATACATCAGCGCATAAAGACAACGCGGCTTGTCTGTGGTCTCCAAAGTGAAGACTAAACAACCAAACCCGGTAGTGCAGCCAGCCCACAAGATAGCAGCAGTAGCAGCAACAACAGGGGCAGCAACAGCTGTGGATGCAGCTACTGCTGGTTCTGCTGCAGTTTATATTCGTGTCTGTTGCTGGGTCGTCGACCTCTTGTGTCTTCTGTGTGTGCGTGTTGGGTGGGTGGTTGCGTATATATATATATATATT